GACTATAGACTAGACTATAGACTAGACTATAGACTAACTATAGACTAGACTATAGACTAGACTATAGACTAGACTATAGACTAGACTATAGACTAGACTATAGACTAGACTATAGACTAGACTATAGACTAGACTATAGACTAGACTATAGACTAGACTATAGACTAGACTATAGACTAGACTATAGACTAGACTATAGACTAACTATAGACTAGACTATAGACTAGACTATAGACTAGACTATAGACCTAGACTATAGACTAGACTATAGACTAGACTATAGACTAGACTATAGACTAGACTATAGACTAGACTATAGACTAGACTATAGACTAGACTATAGACTAGACTATAGACTAGACTATAGACTAGACTATAGACTAGACTATAGACTAGACTATAGACTAGACTATAGACTAGACTATAGACTAGACTATAGACTAGACTATAGACTAGACTATAGACTAGACTATAGACTAGACTATAGACTAGACTATAGACTAGACTATAGACTAGACTATAGACTAGACTATAGACTAGACTATAGACTAGACTATAGACTAGACTATAGACTAGACTATAGACTAGACTATAGACTAGACTATAGACTAGACTATAGACTAGACTATAGACTAGACTATAGACTAGACTATAGACTAGACTATAGACTAGACTATAGACTAGACTATAGACTAGACTATAGACTAGACTATAGACTAGACTATAGACTAGACTATAGACTAGACTATAGACTAGACTATAGACTAGACTATAGACTAGACTATAGACTAGACTATAGACTAGACTATACTAGACTATAGACTAGACTATAGACTAGACTATAGACTAGACTATAGACTAGACTATAGACTAGACTATAGACTAGACTATAGACTAGACTATAGACTAGACTATAGACTAGACTATAGACTAGACTATAGACTAGACTATAGACTAGACTATAGACTAGACTATAGACTAGACTATAGACTAGACTATAGACTAGACTATAGACTAGACTATAGACTAGACTATAGACTAGACTATAGACTAGACTATAGACTAGACTATGACTACGACTATGACTACGACTATGACTAGACTATGACTAGACTATGACTAGACTATGACTAGACTATGACTAGACTATGACTAGACTATGACTAGACTATGACTAGACTATGACTAGACTATGACTAGACTATGACTAGACTATGACTAGACTATGACTAGACTATGACTAGACTATGACTAGACTATGACTAGACTATGACTAGACTATGACTAGACTATGACTAGACTATGACTAGACTATGACTAGACTATGACTAGACTATGACTAGACTATGACTAGACTATGACTAGACTATGACTAGACTATGACTAGACTATGACTAGACTATGACTAGACTATGACTAGACTATGACTAGACTATGACTAGACTATGACTAGACTATGACTAGACTATGACTAGACTATGACTAGACTATGACTAGACTATGACTAGACTATGACTAGATTATGACTGGACTACGAAAACCCCTTATACATGTTTAGATGATTTTTATACATTTTATTTTTAAATGTTCATAAATATTTGTTGTTTTAAAAATTTTCTCCTGATTTTTTTTATTTTTTTCAACCCAAAAACCAGTGAAAGTGAAAAATTTTGCAAGTTTTATTTTTTCTTGTTCGTTTTTTAGTTTCTTTATAAATATGTTTATTATTTTTAGCAACTGAATTTTTTTGTCGTTTTTGTGTTGAAAACAACACCAAAAGAGTACAGAAAATAAACTTAATTTTAATACTATTTTTAATTTTTCTGTACAAACAACCGCTATGCCAAACAACCTCTTGTATTTGTTTACAATTTTATGCTGGTTAATCTTGAGATTATTATTTTTTTTTTCATTCAACTAAATAACTATTTTGATGATTATTATGTCATAATGTGCTCCCCATTAAATCAAATAACTATTTATGTACAATATATGAAAGAAAAAAAAATGATTTTATTACTTTATTATTTTTGGGGGGAATTTGTTTACAACTTAAATAAAATCGTATTATTACAACCATTTCAAAATGAAATGGAGAAATCCAATTTCGAATTGGGAAAATTGTAATTGAATATGAAAGAATGCAATTTAATATTAAGAAAATGCAAAGCAAATGCAAGTGAAATAAGAAAAATTAAGATTAGCACAAACCAATTTAATGTTGAGAAAGTATAAAATGAAAATAAGAAAATTTAAAAGATTTATTTAAAAAGAAAAAGAGTTTAAGATTATTCAAATAAAATTGAGTGATAGTTATTATAAACTTGTTTCAAATTTAATAAAGTTTTATTTTTTATTGTAAAAATTCCTCTTTATCAACTGGCAATGGTGTAATTTTGGGGTACTATCTGAATAAGAAATCCAAGAAACTTAGACAGCACAATGGGATATGGATATAACTAGTATGTAATACACGTATTTAGCCATCTAATGACTGCTCTTAACAAAAACTATTTTACCATAGTGATCACTTTCCTTGGAAAACCCTTGTAAACTATTAATGATGTAACTAAAATATATTCTATTACTAGAAAAATCTCAAACAATTTTCCAAGTATTCAGTTAAATTATGACTTGTTAACATTTTCGACTAGACACAAATAAGAACAATTTCTTTTTTTCGATAATCATTGGGAAAAATACTACAAATAAGTGTTATAGTAAAAAAAATCCTTGCAAAATTCATAATGAAATACAATACCCAACACAAGTAGGAGGTAAATTATTAAAAGCCAAGAAAAATCATTGAACTTTTTTATACTTTCTGGTCAAGAAAATTGTGGAAAAAATATTGTATGTGTTTGCTATTCATGCTGTGTATTGAGGCTATAGCGAACAATTTTATTTATTTTCTATTGTTTTTGCTATAAATACTACTGTGAAAGACTGACCTTAAGATTTGCCAGTTCAATGTTGCTTTCTCAGAAGAATTTGTTTAAATTGCAGTGATAATTGTTGCTGCGAAAACAACAGCATAGAAAAGAGCTTTTTTTAAGATAACAGAAAGCTCTATAGAACATCTGTAACTAACTAACTACTAACTAACTAACTAACTACTAACTACTAACTAACTAACTAACTAACTAACTAACTAACTACTAACTACCTAACTAACTACTAACTACTAACTACTAACTAACTACTAACTAACTAACTAACTATACTAACTAACTAACTAACTAACTAACTAACTAACTAACTAACTAACTAACTAACTACTAACTAACTACTAACTAACTAACTAACTAACTAACTAACTAACTAACTAACTAACTAACTAACTAACTAACTAACTAACTAACTAACTAACTAACTAACTAACTAACTAACTACTAACTAACTAACTAACTAACTACGAACTAACTAACTAACTACTAACTAACTAACTAACTAACTAACTAACTAACTAACTAACTAACTAACTAACTAACTAACTAACTAACTAACTAACTAACTAACTAACTAACTAACTAACTAACTACTAACTAACTAACTAACTAACTAACTAACTAACTAACTACTAACTAACTAACTACTAACTAACTAACTAACTAACTAACTAACTAACTAACTAACTAACTAACTAACTAACTAACTAACTAACTAAACTAACTAACTAACTAACTAACTAACTAACTACTAACTAACTAACTAACTAACTAACTAACTACTAACTAACTAACTAACTACTACTAACTAACTAACTAACTAACTAACTAACTAACTAACTAACTAACTAACTAACTAACTACTAACTAACTAACTAACTAACTAACTAACTAACTAACTAACTAACTAACTAACTAACTAACTACTAACTAACTAACTAACTAACTAACTACTAACTAACTAACTAACTAACTAACTAACTACTAACTACTAACTAACTAACTAACTAACTAACTAACGTAACTAACTAACTAACTAACTAACTAACTAACTAACTAACTAACTAACTAACTAACTAACTAACTAACTAACTAACTAACTAACTAACTAACTAACTACATAAACTAACTAACTAACTAACTAACTAACTAACTACTAACTAACTAACTAACTAACTAACTAACTAACTAACTAACTAACTACACTAACTAACTAACTAACTAACTAACTAACTAACTAACTAACTAACTAACTAACTAACTAACTAACTAACTAACTAACTACTACTAACTAACTAACTAACTAACTACTAACTAACTAACTAAACTAACTAATTTCTACTAAAATTATTTTAGATTCTATTGAGTTTTGATTGCTTACGAATTCCAAAATTTTGCACCAATATATATAATATATAATAAATTAATACAACTTTTGTATAAATTATAACCTTTTTCTTTTTTCCATATAAAATACCCCCTAAAAACAATTTATTTCTATGAATCCGATTGAAAGTACAATTCCTAAACAAATAGAATTTTATCTAAGGAAAATACTCTTATTGTTCATATAATTTGCAAAATCATTATTATTTTCTTTTACTTTTTTCTCAATATAAATTAGATAATGTGTCCTGTTGTGAAAAATACTTGTAAAATAACTGAAAAGAAAACATTATGGACGGACGAGTATTAAGTATAAGGTCGTAGTAAAATAACGACTGGAGACTAAGAAGAACTATTAGATATGTTCTAATGAATGACAGTAATTGAAAGATGTTTGTTGATTTGCTTTTAGAAAGAAAACCACAATGGAAATGATTTGAAAATAAATATAAGATAACAACAAGAGAGAGTTACTTTTTCTTTTCTTTGATAAAAAAATTAAATTTTTTAAAGTAAAAAATTTAATTAAAATATAAATTTTGAAACTAAATTTGAAACAATTTTTAAGTAAAAACATACACATTATTAATCAAGAGCTTTAAAAATCTTTTATTGTAGCTTTTTATTTTGAACTGAATTTAATTCACAATATTTTTCTTTGCTCTCTTTTAGGCTGTTTGTTAAAAGTTTAAAGTGTTTCGTTTTATGTAGTGATCGCGTGTGCTATTTTCATTAAAAAAGTCTCCACAACAAAGCTTTCAAATTATTCAATGATCAGTAAGCTACTCTATAATGAGAAATCTCAGCTGGTGAAGCATAAGTCAACTGTAAAGAAGGTGAGTTTAATTTAAAATATTTATTAATGATCACATAATACCTTTAAAATACTCACATAATTTGAGGCGTAAGCGTAGGGCAAATGATGTACGGTGGTCAGTGTTGAGGGTATAATTGGCAGCTGTCGCCACTAGTGGGGTACTTTTAAAATATGGGCGTTAAAGCCTCCACATTAGCCCGCATGTTTAGTATTTGCCGGTGCTAAAGGAAGGTTGTGGTTCCAATTCGGCCAATAGGGGAGTTGAGATTGAAGCTGAAGCCACCAAACTAACCAGGGCCACAAAAGTTACCTATTGCATTTATTTTTAAAAATTATTTAACTTTTAAATATATTATTTAAATCCTTACTAATTTCAACATTCTTCTGCAGTCTTTTAAATCTGAGTTTATCTTTTAATACTAACTTTAGTTAAGGTTTAGCATTGACTATTTATACCAAAATTTTATTTGGTCTTAAAGAATTTCTTGTTTATGTTTATATATTTTTCTGCGAAGACCTTAAACTTGTTTGGATGCTAGACTGTTGTTAAAATGTTCTAGGTTCTCTTTTTTTTTGTTGGTTTTTGTCATGTTTAAACATTAACCCTTTAAAGGATAAGAGACATTTTGAGAATATATAAAAATCTTTTATTAGAATATAATAATTCGATAAGCGAGTATATCGATTCAATGTTTTATTTTATAAACATTACCACCTTTCTTAGCTTAACATTTCCCTTAGCTCTAGATATGTTTTCATTTCTTGGAATTGTTTGACTTACTTATAACATCCAAATCTATAAATATGATATAATTAATTACAGAATTGATTAATTCTTATGTCAGACAATTGCTTGTGGCCATTAAGCGAACATTAACATTTCAATTATGTATGTATTTGATTCTACTCAAACCGCTATTAATTTAGGAATAAAGCTTTCTTTAGGTTATATATTGGAACGATATTGAGACTAATTTTTAAAGAACCCTATCCAAAGCTAGAACATCAACTTGAAAGAAACTGTTTTAACTTCAGTTAACTAAACGGGGAATTAATTTCTTTCTAGTTCAGTTCTAGTTCAATGCTAGTTCAGTTCTAGTTCAGTTCTAGTTCAGTTCTAGTTCAGTTCTAGTTCAGTTCTAGTTCAGTTCTAGTTCAGTTCTAGTTCAGTTCTAGTTCAGTTCTAGTTCAGTTCTAGTTCAGTTCTAGTTCAGTTCTAGTTCAGTTCTAGTTCAGTTCTAGTTCAGTTCTAGTTCAGTTCTAGTTCAGTTCTAGTTCAGTTCTAGTTCAGTTCAGTTTAGTTCTAGTTCAGTTCTAGTTCAGTTCTAGTTCAGTTCTAGTTCAGTTCTAGTTCAGTTCTAGTTCAGTTCTAGTTCAGTTCTAGTTCAGTTCTAGTTCAGTTCTAGTTCAGTTCTAGTTCAGTTCTAGTTCAGTTCTAGTTCAGTTCTAGTTCAGTTCTAGTTCAGTTCTAGTTCAGTTCTAGTTCAGTTCTATTTCAGTTCTAGTTCAGTTCTAGTTCAGTTCTAGTTCAGTTCTAGTTCAGTTCTAGTTCAGTTCTAGTTCAGTTCTAGTTCAGTTCTAGTTCAGTTCAGTTCTAGTTCAGTTCAGTTCAGTTCAGTTCAGTTCAGTTCAGTTCAGTTCAGTTCAGTTCGTTCTAGTTCAGTTCTAGTTCAGTTCTAGTTCAGTTCTAGTTCAGTTCTAGTTCAGTTCTAGTTCAGTTCTAGTTCAGTTCTAGTTCAGTTCTAGTTCAGTTCTAGTTCAGTTCTAGTTCAGTTCTAGTTCAGTTCTAGTTCAGTTCTAGTTCAGTTCTAGTTCAGTTCTAGTTCAGTTCTAGTTCATTTCTAGTTCAGTTCTAGTTCAGTTCTAGTTCAGTTCTAGTTCAGTTCTAGTTCAGTTCTAGTTCAGTTCTAGTTCAGTTCTAGTTCAGTTCTAGTTCAGTTCTAGTTCAGTTCTAGTTCAGTTCTAGTTCAGTTCTAGTTCAGTTCTAGTTCAGTTCTAGTTCAGTTCTAGTTCAGTTCTAGTTCAGTTCTAGTTCAGTTCTAGTTCAGTTCTAGTTCAGTTCTAGTTCAGTTCTAGTTCAGTTCTAGTTCAGTTCTAGTTCAGTTCTAGTTCAGTTCTAGTTCAGTTCTAGTTCAGTTCTAGTTCAGTTCTAGTTCAGTTCTAGTTCAGTTCTAGTTCAGTTAGTTCAGTCTAGTTCAGTTCTAGTTCAGTTCTAGTTCAGTTCTAGTTCAGTTCTAGTTCAGTTCTAGTTCAGTTCTAGTTCAGTTCTAGTTCAGTTCTAGTTCAGTTCTAGTTCAGTTCTAGTTCAGTTCTAGTTCAGTTCTAGTTCAGTTCTAGTTCAGTTCTAGTTCAGTTCTAGTTCAGTTCTAGTTCAGTTCTAGTTCAGTTCTAGTTCAGTTCTAGTTCAGTTCTAGTTCAGTTCTAGTTCAGTTCTAGTTCAGTTCTAGTTCAGTTCTAGTTCAGTTCTAGTTCAGTTCTAGTTCAGTTCTAGTTCAGTTCTAGTTCAGTTCTAGTTCAGTTCTAGTTCAGTTCTAGTTCAGTTCTAGTTCAGTTGTAGTTCAGTTCTAGTTCAGTTCTAGTTCAGTTCTAGTTCAGTTCTAGTTCAGTTCTAGTTCAGTTCTAGTTCAGTTCTAGTTCAGATCTAGTTCAGTTCTAATTCTGTTCTAGATCAGTTCTGGTTCAGTTCTGGTTCAGTTCTAGTTCAGTTCTAGTTCAGTTCTAGTTCAGTTCTAGTTCAGTTTTAGTTCAGTTCTAGTTCAGTTCTAGTTCAGTTCTAGTTCAGTTCTAGTTCAGTTTTAGTTCAGTTCTAGTTCAGTTCTAGTTCAGTTCTAGTTCAGTTCTAGTTCAGTTCTAGTTCAGTTCTAGTTCAGTTCTAGATCAGTTCTAAAACACCTACGTCCTGCCGAAGGCCGGTTATCCAGAACACTTTTTGAAAGGTATCCTAAATGGAACATACCACCAGATTTAGGAGCAATTATTTTCGGGATAGGACGGTGTGATGTTAAGAACTCTTAATATAATCTTAAAATGTTTTTATATAAAAAAAAGATTTATTTGTTCTTAAGGTAAAGTGTATTGCTTTGCTATTTTTAGGCAAAGAAACCAGAATTGCAAAGAAAAACATTACAAAAAATTCAGCAATACAAAAATAACAGCGCAGACCCTGCACTATAATAACAAAATTATTTATTTTGTTTTGAGTATAGGATTAATGCTCCTTTTGTAACAAGTCACATGCATGGCTTGGAAGTTGTTTTTCTTTACATTTTTTCACACTCTGAAGTCCGACAAGAACTGGATGAATACCTACGCTTTACCCAGTGTCAAGGTTGTAATGTTGTTTTAATTTTTATACCCTACACCACTTTAGTGGGGAGGGTATATTGGATTTGTGCTGATGTTTGTAACATACAAAAATATTCGTCCTAGACCCACCTTAAAGTATACCAATCGGCTTAGAATCGTTTTCTGAGTCGATTAAGCTATGTCCGTCCGTCCGTCCGTCCGTCCGTCTGGCTGGCTGGCTGTCCATGTAAACCTTGTGCGCAAGGTACAGGTCGCAATTTTCAAGATAATTGGATGAAATTTGGCACGCACGTTTTATTTGACCCAAGGACGAAGCCTATTGAAAATGGTTAAAATCGGTCCATTATTTCACCTAGCCCCCATAGAACAGAACCCCCCGAAAAGGGCTTCTAAGATATACAGATATTTCGATAAAATACGGCACAACTAAGTTTTATAGAAGTCTTGATGGACCCTGCCAAATTTCATAAAGATCGGGCCCCATTTGACCCTAGCTCCCATACAAAGTCCCCTTCAGAAAATTACTTGAATGTCCCAAATTAACTTATAAACACAAATATCGCAATAAAATTCAGCACAATAAAAATATTATGTAAATATAAATATATTCACAAAATTTTATCGGGGCTTGGTCCATATTTGCCCCTAGCCCCCATATAAAGCCTCTTTCAGAAAATTAGTTTTTCATCCATAAATTGCTTAAATGTATCGGAACAAGGGAATATTGAAGATAAATGCTTTATTATGAAAAGTAAATCACATTTAATATTCATAACTGGTGTAGGGTATCATATGGTCGGCCACGCCCGACTATACTTTCTTACTTGTTTTTCAGTTGTTTATATGTATACAAATTTTGATATCGAATTATTGCTGTTTTTATAAATAAACATCATTTACATAAATTTCATGCAAGAAAAAGGAGGTTCATCGACTTTATATCTATGTATGTGTCGTGTACATACATTATTTTTATTTTCTCATTCAATTTAATCTAATGTACAAAATGAAAGATTAATTTTCATCACCTCATAATAATGCAGAAATAAATAAATGCTTTTTTAATACTGCAGTTCAATGAATGCAGTAAATTTACGTCATCATAACAAGGGTGATTGAACAGTAGAGCAATAAGGGCAAACAATTTTTGCTCAAGAAGAAAGAAATCCGGAAAAAATGTTATTTTGACAAACGAACGAAATATTTGTTGTTTGTACTGTTTTAATTTTAAACACCGAAAGATTCCACCAGACATTGCTTTAGTTCAGTTCTAGCATAATTCTAGTTCAGTTCTTGTTTAATTCTAGTTCAATTCTAGTTCAGTTCTAGTTCAGTTCTAGTTCAGTTCTAGTTCAGTTCTAGTTCAGTTCTAGTTCAGTTCTAGTTCAGTTCTAGTTCAGTTCTAGTTCAGTTCTAGTTCAGTTCTAGTTCAGTTCTAGTTCAGTTCTAGTTCAGTTCTAGTTCAGTTCTAGTTCAGTTCTAGTTCAGTTCTAGTTCAGTTCTAGTTCAGTTCTAGTTCAGTTCTAGTTCAGTTCTAGTTCAGTTCTAGTTCAGTTCTAGTTCAGTTCTAGTTCAGTTCTAGTTCAGTTCTAGTTCAGTTCTAGTTCAGTTCTAGTTCAGTTCTAGTTCAGTTCTAGTTCAGTTCTAGTTCAGTTCTAGTTCAGTTCTAGTTCAGTTCTAGTTCAGTTCTAGTTCAGTTCTAGTTCAGTTCTAGTTCAGTTCTAGTTCAGTTCTAGTTCAGTTCTAGTTCAGTTCTGTTCTAGTTCAGTTCTGTTTAGTTCAGTTCTAGTTCAGTTCAGTTCTAGTTCAGTTCTAGTTCAGTTCTAGTTCAGTTCTAGTTCAGTTCTAGTTCAGTTCTAGTTCAGTTCTAGTTCAGTTCTAGTTCAGTTCTAGTTCAGTTCTAGTTCAGTTCTAGTTCAGTTCTAGTTCAGTTCTAGTTCAGTTCTAGTTCAGTTCTAGTTCAGTTCTAGTTCAGTTCTAGTTCAGTTCTAGTTCAGTTCTAGTTCAGTTCTAGTTCAGTTCTAGTTCAGTTCTAGTTCAGTTCTAGTTCAGTTCTAGTTCAGTTCTAGTTCAGTTCTAGTTCAGTTCTAGTTCAGTTCTAGTTCAGTTCTA